TTTGTCTCTGAGTTGATCCAACTCTGGGTGAGACGACTGACGAGTGGTTGCGATGACATGTTTGGCGTGAGTTGTGGTCAACACCTGTCGCACTAATGAGAGTCCAATGCCCCGATTGCCGCCTGTAATCAACACCGTCTCGAAACTCATTGCTAGTATATTTAATTTGTATATTAAAATATATCTATTATTAAATATAATTTTTAATCTGATGTTTCATACATTAAATTATTATTTTCTCAAATAAACTGAATATATTCATTAACTATAAAAAGACTAATCAAATGCACTGAAACAGTATTTATATTGAAATAAAGTGTTAGTCAAATAAATGTTTGATAACTCAATTGAGTGGTTTACAGAAGCTTAAATATCAAATGAATGACCTTGGTCGCTATCCAAACAACGCAATTACATTTTGTACAAATAAATTTTCTAAAAATAGTTATTAAATATTTAAGTTTATAAGATTTTAATATAAAATAATAATATTGATTTATATACTTTTAAATGCTTAATTATTTAAGTCCCCTCTAAATATTTTATTATAATTAAAATGTATAATAAATATTTTTATTATGTATTTTATTTCATTTATCTAGAACACAAATATAAGCATCACAAAATGAGAAAGTTACATCACGACTGTTCATTTTACCAAGATTGTCATCATTGACTATGTAGAGTATATAATTGTTTTACAATAGGATATGGACCCGGGACTTTAGATGTTGGACCAGTCGTGGCATACGTGGCCCAACACCGATACCTCTATTTGGTAATGTGTTGAGCTTTTTTCACAGTACCCCAACCGCACCAGGAGGTGAACTGGTACACTAAATATGGCAAATCTAACAATTATAACAAGCATAGTATAATTAGTAACACATTAACTAGTAATACAGAATGTACAGTACGCTACCTTAACAATGCAGTAATTATTACATATTTGTAAAAATCATAGTTTACTTACTAATTATAATTTAATTAAACTAAATTTAGTTACTAGATTTCTTAGTTACTATTACCAATCAAACATGAAATAGTGTATGCTAGAACAGTTGCCAACAAAAATAACATGGTTTATAATTTAAAGTTAAAATCATTCGTTAAACAGAAACGTAAGGAATATATGAGAGAAATATTTTATTTCAAAATTGATCTAGTACACAAATACGTATAAAGATCACAAAATTAGTATGGTACGATAGTGCCATCGTGACTGATCATTTTGCCAAGATTATCGTCGGTAATCATATTTCTGATAACATTTAGCACACCCGACACACCGGTGCTCACTTCCAACGCAGCGTTAGGTCCGCCCATATCTGTTTTCAGATGACCCGGACATATACTGATCACATGTATGCCATGAGGCTTGAGGTCAACCGACAGACATTTGGTGATCATATTGAGTGCTGTTTTACTCGTACAGTAGGCATAGTAGGTATAGCCCTCCCTGTGCTCAAAGCTTATGGATCCCATAGTGGATGATATGTTAATTACGGATGTCTTTCCTCTGGCCCCCGACACCTAACGTAGAAATAATGAATAAAATATATTTTTATAAATTTAATAAAATAACAAATATTTTAAGACAAACCTTAAGCAATGGCAGCAATGCTTTGGTTAACATAAGCGGTGCCACAGAATTCACTTCAAAATTCTTGACCATAACTTCGGCGGTCACTGAATCCAAACGATCCCGAAAAGCCATTCCCGCGTTGTTTATCAGGGTATCCAATCCCTGGTCACCCACTATAGCCTCCACTTGTTTAACAAACTGCGGGAAACTGTTATAATTAGTGCCCTCCAGTTGCAGGACATGGAGTCTATTCGGGTGTTTGTCTCTGAGTTGATCCAACTCTGGGTGAGACGACTGACGAGTGGTTGCGATGACATGTT